ATAATTCCCAAAAGTAGTAAATTGTATACCACAACACGAATTGATGGTGAACTAGGTGGTGTTATAGTAGTCCTCACGCCACCAAAGTCTTATATTTACTTATTGAATAGTTATATCTGCTTCTCTAGGAAATGCTTGATTCTAGATTCATTTATTTATTTTCCCTTCCTACTAGGCTAGTGAGGTTGGTTTGATAGTTTTGAACGTAGAGATTCTAGATATATATTCTAACAGAGTTTACAACTGGAATATATATATCTACAACAAATATTCTTAACAATAAGAAAATAGTATTTTTTAAACGCGCAATTGATCAATGAATTCAACTATATTATCTACAGATGTCTAATCCTTAGTAAACCTACCACCTCTACGCCCGGTCGCCCATGGTGCCAACCAGTCAAAGTACGGCTACTGCAAATACTGTTCTCAGACAACCATTTAACTACTAATAAATAATTTTGACCATATGAATAGGAGAATTATCTTGCACAAACGGCTGTTTAGGATCTTAATTAATGTGAGCAATTGTAGCCTCCAAAAAAACAATAAATAGCTACACATGTCGAGATTTTTGGAAAAAAAAACAAATTATTGTCAACCCTAGGTAATCCTGTGAAACATCTATCTATCTAACGAAAATACATGGCTATCTCGATTTAAATTATGAATGATCTTCCCTTAGAAATCAAGGGTACGGGCGACTATTCATGCCACTCTTGACTTAATTATTATTGGTTAATATTGTTAATATTGCCAGCAGTAATTTTTGAGATTGGTCATCTGAAGACCATTCCAAGGTTGGAATGCCTGATTTTACAGTATTTGTGCTTGAATTCTGCCTTATTCTAGACTTGCATGAATTAAAATAAATACATGAATTACTATGACAGAGGGTTTAATAAGCAAAGTATCTAAGTTTAAAAACATAAAGCTATTCCCACTATAAAAATCCTCGTATATACGTATTTCTCGGCGTTGAATCTTTTTACTATACGAACTTGTACTATTGTTTGGAAGTGCTAATGGCAATATATAGTGGTAGGGCGGTCAACGCCTACCACTTGTAATAGGTACGACCGAATGAATACTAAGCCGGACCCGGAGCCGGGGCCTTTGTAATATACGAGGACTAATATTAAAGCCTTCCGCCTAAAGAGTAGTAGTAATTTCATTTTTGTAAGGTTTAAGATCAATAGAAGGGCGCCCCGGCTATACAAATGGAGAGAAACTAATATCCATGGATATGCTTCGAGAAGGCGGTGGTGAAAGCGGACAGGCAGTATAAACCAATAATAATTAAGTCAAAGGCGGCATGAAAAGTCGCGCGTACCGGGGAGAAGATCGGAAGGTGCATCTCCCGAGAAGACCTCCAACCCCGAAACAAAATCATTCCACAACGTCTTCGAAGTCATGGGCGCATTGCTATATGCTTGAATATCAGAAGCAAACAAGAGATCCTTCATCTGGGGAAGTAAGGCATCCGCCGCCTGAGCTTCCATTTCGCGTTGAACTTCCCTGCTGAGTCCCCCTTGTTCAACATACCACGCAGAGTCTTGCTTCACAACTCCGCTCTCATAAAGATTAAGCAAGTTCGGGTCGATATTGGCATCTATAGCTGCTTCATAGGCCATTCTGTGCCCGATTGCCTCGACTAATGGAAGAGCGAGCGGAAGGATATCCCGATTGAATCGGTCGCTTCGGTGAGCTCCCTTGGCACCTTGTTGAAGAAGGTCCCTCGCTTCGGAGAACAGAGAGGCCTCATGCCGCGCAATGGGGCTGCTAGGGTCGTTTGGTGGTGGCATTTGATACCGACCGATCAATAGTTCAGACGCGAGTCCTATATTTATTGTTAGTGTTTTTCTGGAGCATTTTTCCAAGTTTTAAAGACACGTACGGATGGCAAGGACGCGGATATCGCCCTCTGCAGTTGATCCACCACGCATTGTCAGCTAGAAGGAAGAATTAGTCAAGCAAAAGATAAGTAAGTAATACTGAGATCTTACCTCCATCTTAAGGAGCTGGTTATGCTCATAATGTCCATGCCACCCACACCGCTCGTTCATATCTTTGATGCTTTTGTTGAAATGACCAAGCGATACCGCCTTGAAAGCTGTAGCTATACCATGGCGCACCCGCGGGTCAAGGGTCTGTTCTCGGAACGCCATCGCTGCAGAAACGAAGGATGCTTCTAGCACGCTATACTGTGCGATGGCATGGAGGATGGGCATATGTTGAGTCCGGAAATTGATCACTGCCATTGGGCTTCCATCCTGGCCGCTGACAAGTCTGTTCTGGCTGAACGATGCGGCATTGAAGGCGGCGAGCTTGAGACCTGGGACGACACCCCCTGAGAGGAATAGAGTGCCCACTGCAACGCGATGGATGGAGGCTAAGAACCCTTCGCGCTTGTTTTCTGTTCCTTCTGCACTGCCAAGTAAGGCGGATCTTGGTAGACGGACGTGGTCGAAGTATGTGAGAGCGTGGTCGATTGGATGGGCACCAGTTCGTTGAGGCAAGGCCCTTGTTATGGATTAGCTCTTATGGACTAGGCATGGGAGTGTAGCTGGAGACTCACTTTGATATCACACCCTTACACATCTCTTTTCCGTTTCCAAGTTGGACTAGGAATGGTCGGATTCCGCAGTCTTTATTTTCAGTCACAAGACGAGCCATTACAAGTGCAACCACTGGAATACCACCCCTCGGGGTAGTTGGCGGCATGACCCTGAGAGTATCTGTTAGCAAATTGTAAGATAATTAGACTCGGATATTTCTCGGCTTACTTTGCATCGTTTGGGGAAGGAGTGTGAAGGTCGATGTCACCATCTGGGAGAATTGTTGCAGTTGTCTGTATGTTCCGTGCATCTAATCCATGATTCACTTCGGTCAACATGAATTGTGCTCTAAATATCAATTTCTCGTCAGCGACAAACTTGAAATGGTCCGTGTTTGAAGATTTTTGCTTAGAGATGAACTCACGAGATATCGTAGTCCAAAGCAGATTGGAGTATCGGCTGAAGCTCTGGACGCTTCAAGGCAAAAGGAGCCAGTGTGCCCACAAAGAGATTGCACTGAATACTAAGCAGAGTGAAAGCCCCACCATCAAGTGTCATTAGAGGCTCTCGGTGCAGCTTCCAGAACTTAGGGGTGATGTATAAGACATCCTTAAGCGTCAAGCCTGTTCTAGTTAGTGATTGTATATACTGGTAGAGTAAATAGGTTGGGCATACCATATGCATTAGTGAAGGCCTTCGCCCTCTGGTAGGTTAGTCTAGTAGATTCCTCCAAGCTGAAAGAGGGCGGGGCTGGTTTGAAGAGCTCTGAACGTGCTAGATCCTCCATTGCAGGATTCAACTGCTGTAGCTGCTGTAACTGCTGCTGTAATCCGTTGTCCATGGTGGGCAAATCTTCTGTATCAATAATAGTATGAATAAATTTACGATCATGAAGCGAACACTCGGAGGTAGATATACCACCAGAGAGAAACTATTTTATAAATTTCAGGTAGAGATATTCAGCCACATCCACTTTTATTTTTCGATAAAGCTGATCGGGGCTGAACTGTGGCACATAGTACATTTGTATGATGTACTATGCAGAGGATCCAAAAAAAAGAGAATCCTTACCGTTTCTAGTTAGAGTACTGAATCTAGCGGTATAAAAAGGCCTAGTGGAGATAGAAGCCGACAACATATCAACTTGTCATTGGACGTCACCCTGGTCGGTTTTTTCTTCCTATCCATGGGATCAAAATCCTTCTACGGATCTCACCGAAGTAGTCCGAGAAGTTTCGATCAATGAGGTGTAATATGCGGAAGATTATGAACTTTAGCCCCAGTGTGGGCTCTCCGAAATTCAGGGCGGGCTGAGTTTCCATTCTGTATTGACTGATAGGGTGAACCAAAGGTACAATCTCCACGAAGAACTGAATATCAGTGGATCCGCTGACCGGGATATACTTGGAACAAAAAGTAAGGGGTTTAGGATGTTCTTCGCGACCCATAAAATGTCTTAGCGACTTCAAATGTTGTTACATCTTGTCGAAGTTTGTCCACGAAGTTTGTCCACGAAGTTTGCCCACGAAGTTTGGTAGACTTGTGTGCCTGACGTGTTTCCAAATACACATGGTCACTATGTACCGTAGATTTGTTATTGTAGGGCTAGTCCTTGTATTTTCATTGATATTCTGACAGGTCGGGTACAATAACATCCAGGGTCATTCTCATCATAACTTCGTGCTTCACAAAGAACCGTTCGGTGACGCTTCTAGAACATGGTTCCCAGTTTATCAGATATATTTGTTAGTCACATTCGTATAGCGTAGGTGGTTATATGGGAAATATTGGGTCGACGGGCCACGGAGTTCATGACAATAAGTTCGGCCCACTGTGGGCATGTATATGCCTCCCAATCAGCTTCACATAAACCCGAGACTATCCACAATCATTTTATTAGCCCTCATTTTGTCCAAACTCACGTTTACCACGTTGCATAAACCAACAGATTTAAACGTTGCTGCCCAGGTGGCAGTACTTATTATCCATATCTGGAAAAAGTTCGCTATACCTGCCTTCACTCATGCATTTAAATTTACATTCGGCATCTCCGATTTGATCAATATAAAAAAGTATTTGATATTGGACACCGTTGCAGGGTCAGTTCATAGTACATACCGTAATGAAAGAGTTGCAAAAAGTTATGATGAGCCCAAGATGGCCTGAAGTTCAGCTGTAGTCAGTCATAGGAAGATGAATGCACATTGTGGTTAAATGGGTGAGATTACAGATATCGCAATTCAGTTCTAACGTTACAACTTACATCCACATCAGTACCCTTCAAGAATAAACAAGTCGTATATAATTATTCTCAGAAAATAGGGGGTAATCAGATCGAGACCTAGTTCGCACCGCCTTGCATTCAATACATGCAATGAAACAATTTACCATCGACCATAATGAAGTAAAGTTCATTTTCTCAGAAATTGAACAAGGAGATTATTAAAAAAAGAGCGCCAAAAGGGCGATGCCAAAACCCCAAAAACCGTACATGGGTAGTTTCGACCCAACATTGGAAAGAACGACAGTTTCAGTTGGCTTAGATCCTGTGGGCTTGGACACAGTGGGCTTAGGCGTAGTCGGCGTAAAAATAGCGGTGGAGTGTGTTTTGCAGCTAGTTGTCAACGTCGAGGACGACACGTGCGCGAAATGGCCACTCTTAGAAGGAGGACTGGCAGTAGTAACAACCACCAAATTCACAGATGTCGTGGAGGAACAAGTGACCGTACTGAACCTAACGAGGGGAACAGTGGTCGTGTGCGAAGCCCAGCTGATGGTGGTACAAGGAGTCTGGAGGGCGACGGATGTAGGCACACCAATAGTCGCAACAACGGTACGTGTGCTGGGAGTGACTTTAGGACCAGCAGTGGTCTTAGGAGCGGGGTCGGAAGAAGTGCAGGTTGTGGGGATGTCGACAATCGCAGGGTTCTCCGGGACGAAGGGAGCACAAATACCGGCGAAGAAAGCAAGGGCGGAATCTTCCTCCTTCTTGGAGCTGCTCCAGGCCCGAATGCATCCCCTAACTTTGTCCGTGAATTCGGTGGATGGGCAGAAGCATGCAGTATCGCTGTTCGAGTCGCACTTCGGAATAGTGAGCCATGTGTTGAGACACTTGGGTACCACGTTAGGGCAGGGAGCAGTAACAACAGGAGGGCTGGGCTCAGTAGCTGTAGTGAAAGAGCTAGTGATCGAGGGGTGCGAGTGCACAACACGAGGAGAGGTTGTGCTAGGATTGGTTTCCGCGGGTTTAGAAGGGCAGACTGTTGTTGACAATGGGTATGTAGAGGTAACCAAGACAGTCGAATGACCAGGGCAGTTAGTGACATTGGGTGGGCATTTAGTGATAGTAATCTCCTCGGTAGTCCAGATTGTGGAAGTCGTCATCTTCTGGGAAGAGTGGCTAAGCGTAGGAATTTCCCGTGTAGTAGAGGGCAAATGGAAATGAGGAAGGGAAACAGTCGAGCTCGTGGTAGGCACATGATGAGAATGAGAGGGGTCAAGGACGGGGCTTGGCGGCTTAGATCCAGTAGAACAGTCAAAGTCGATCGAATGGATCTCTATATCACAATCGCCGAACTTGTTCTCTTGGGGAAGTGTGAACTCGACTGATACAGCACCGCCACACTGGTCGTTGCCGACATCAGTTCCCCTGTACGAGCTGGAAGCGACATGATGACAGGAAGAACCATCCGGCATCTCGTAGATGATGAAAACATCGGTGCTCCGGGAAGTTGAAAGATGGAAGTTCCGGATTGAGAATGGAGCGTCAGTGGCGAAAATCTTGATTGTCCAGTCATCGTCACTAGAGAGCTTTCCACCAAGGCAAGTGCCCTTGAGAAAGTTAGAATCGAGAGCCTTTGATGGGTGGAATAATGACCTACCCCGTAGCTAGATCCTTGACAGCCATTCTTGGGCTCGAGGCCAACAAAATGGAAGCCTTCAAAGCTCCAATTGTCACCGTTTGCCAGCTCAGACAAGTCAAAGCCTTTCTGCTGAACATCCGAGCACTGATTGTCGGTGTTGTCTGGACTGGTATAGCAGACATCCGTACCCCACCACTAATATATCCCCAAGATTAGATCTGTGCCCCAAGTTGTAGAAATAGAAGTACTCACAAGGCCCGCCGGATGAGCCAGGGCAGCCCCAAAAAGCGAAAGAAGAGCAACCCCCTTCATCATGAGCAAGACTGTATTAACTAAAGCTAGTAATCATATAAGACAATAAAATGAGTGAATGACGCTGAAGTTGAGCGTGGGTATAAAAAGAACGAAAATGAGAGACGATATTTTGGCGAAGGTTGTCGACTGGATGTTGGATGGCGAGCATCAAAGAGAGCTACGATATGGTTCTTTTTAACCTCATCCCCTAAATGCCTAGTCAAGCTTTATTATCAACAAAGCAGAAAGTAAAAAAGGAATGTCAGCCACTTTGTTACAGGAATTTGCGATGAATCCAATGGTGAGAGTCCCAACTCATCGTGAAGCAGGTTGTTTTACAGGAATCAGGAACTTCACATCGCTATAGTTCAAGGAACCAATGCAGGGGGAACATTCCAGTGTTATAAACCCCGAAAGACCAATTAGAACAGTCGGTAACTGCACCCGATCTATAGGGCTCGCTCGAATTCACCGAAAAGTCGAAAGGGTTGTAAAGTCAAGCAAGGAGCTATACATTAGCAGTTCAGAGAGAAATATTGAGGTTAGAACAATTCGAAGTGTCCTATAGTTTATTGCTCAAGAGTCTTTTCTATCTATGAAATGAGCTAGATGTCCCATAACAATATTTCTACTTGGTATATCCATAGTTAGTAGGTTTGCACATCAGCCATTCCAGTTTCAGTTGAAGATTTCCAACTTTTCTTCAGAGCTCCTATACCAAGGTTTTCTTGGGTTCCAATCATTGGTTCAATAGTAGTATCAAAGCCCTTTATCTCCAACCTTGGATGTCACGAGGCATCCAGGCAAGTGGAAGAGATATAGAACCCGGAAGAGTCAACTACATACATTCCTGACCACGCATTCCATCAAGAAGTTGCCTAATAAGTAGACATCGCTCTCGCTTCCCTTGTTAGTTCCACCACATCAAATAGACTGTGGTCGAGGTTCCACATAGAAGCTCACTGTTGAATACGATTTTTCGCAAGGGAAGCTCCATAGGGAACTTACAGGGAGGACGGATGGAAGAAATAGCGCACCTAGGATAGCAAGATATATCCACAATCGCGAGATATGCTCCCGAGACATCTGGCTGAATGCATAACCAGAATTCGATCTTGCAGTTTGTCCTGTATCTCGAAAACAAATCAGAGATCCAAAATCAGTCACTTTGTTCAACCTGTGTAGGTTGCGTAACGGGACGATGATGGCAAACAGGCCAACAAATGACCAATCAGAACGAATCCCCCCACAAATGGAATGTTTTTAATGTTTTTGGCTAGCAAGGTGTTCAACAAGTCTGAGGATATCGTGATGGCAAATCATAGTGCCATGCCATCACTAGTGTTGGAGAGCACGCCAAACTGAACTAGTTATGGGATATTTTAACACGAGTACCATGCTATGACTAGAAGTCATAGTGCCATTTCCTAGGTGTTAGAGAGCACGCCAAACTAAACTATGGAATATCTTAACACGACAATATATGAGATTGATCTGAAGTAAAAGTGAGATAAATCATAGGTCTTCCATATAGAGCATGTAGGTAGTCTGTTGGTGACACAAAGTATACAATCCAGCATGAAGTATATGGGCCTGCGCTAATCCTACTTCGGGTTAGCGTACAAACTGATCTATTTAGGTAGGCGGTGGGGTTAATTGCACTGCACGGGCCCTCTGTTTCGACAGGGTAGATCGCATCCGATCTCTTTCTCTTCTGTCAATTCGTTCACCTGTCTGCAACAATCGTTGCTTTTATTGCCCATCATGTCCACATCACCAGAAGCATCGGCATCTGTTCCACAAGAAAGTGCCAGTGGCTCACCCAGCCCTGTTCTGTCGGGCCCTGAGACAGAAGCCAAGCATGACATCGACAGCCAGAAAGACGAGGAAAAGAACGAAGAAACCCGACCAATTGAGGAACCGAGAATGGACGCGTCCAAGTCGCAACCTCATGAACCTGAGCAAGATGAACTAACATCTGCACCACCGCTCCCCGCTGAAGTCCCACCACCACTTCCCACCGAGGCTCCACCTGCACAGGTCGAGGACGATGGATGGGAACCTGCATGGGACGCCACCGCAGGGGCATATTACTTTTACAACCGCTTTACTGGAGTTTCCCAGTGGGAAAACCCCCGCGTGCCAGAAGCCTCAGCAGTCCCAGCAATCCCAGCAGCACCCGGCACAGAAGTCAGCCACGACGCAGCTCCGAGAAAGGAACCAGTCCTCGGTGGCTACAATCCCGCGATCCACGGCAATTATGACCCCACCGCATCGTATGCGCAATATCACGAAGAGCCAGCACAGGCTGCACAGCCCGCGAACGCACTCGGGTTTGATCCCTCCACGGCATATGCAGCTACCGGCACATTCAACCGCTTCACTGGACGATGGCAACCTGCAACAATCAATCCGGATAATCACAATGATGAGAACAAGTCTCGCCGACAGATGAACGCTTTCTTCGACGTTGATGCGGCAGCAAATAGCCATGACGGCCGGAGTTTGCGCGCAGAGCGCAGCGCTAAGAAATTGACCAAGCAAGAGTTGAAGCAGTACAAGGAGAAGCGTCGTGAGAGAAAGGAGGAGAAGAGGCGGGCTTGGCTCAGGGATTAGGGGCCGTGTGGCTAGGTGTTTGTTTGAGTTCTGGGAGGGAAGGAGGGTTGTTTGATGTATTCTCTCGTTACCTCCGGTCGCATTTTCATTTCGGAGCTTCTTGATACCATCCCACCGGACGTGGGACTCGGCGTTTGAGCTTGTTTTTCTCTCGGCGTTCTGCCTTGCATGTGGGTAGAGGCGGACGGAATTCCTGTCGTTCTATCCACGATTGAGCAAAGTTACTTGTACAATGTACCATGTATGAACACAAACCTCGTCTCGACATAAGGCTCTTCTAGTAATTTAAATATGTACGATAACGCGCGTAGTTATTGGCACATTCATTCGACTTCTATTGTACCGTTGACTGATAGCCCGCTATCAGTCACATGACCCGCGATATCAAATTATTTTCTGCGGCGATCGCTTCAATTGTCGCCGTGATACTCCACGCTAGAAAGCAAAGAACTGAAAGCAAAGGTAAGATTGAATTTACTTCCTGTTCATTGACTTTAAAATCGTGGCGAAAGAAGCACCTCGAACTGCGATTCCCATTTTGTGGCTGGAACATGTCCTTGACATTGAAATCCTTATCAACTGGATCTACCGCGGGGCCAGGCTGTTGTACTATGCAAAATTCCCAATTTCTCCAGAGTCCTTTATGATTTTACACACATAACACTCTTTGTTTTCCTGTCACTTGACTCATCATCTCCCGATCGTGAATCAACATTTTACTGACACCCCACTCCAGTTACATCAAATAAAGTGGGAAATCAAAAACAACCCCACCAAGAAGAAAGAAGAACAATAATACCAAAAACTTGGTCTATCACACATCATGTCTACCTCCACGACATCACAGACAAAGCCCACAGTGCCAATCGCACTCTCCGCCGAGGCAGTCGATGATCTGATCTATGACGCCCGAGCAGGCGATCTCGAGGCCCTAAATGAAGACATCGCCAACCTCGCCAGCCAACACAGCTGCAACGAGTCCCAGATCGTGGCATCTGCCATCGACATGGCGGATGAGAGCGAGGGTGGCTCTGGATCCTGTGTTCTGCACTTCCCGGCTGCGAATGGAAACTCCGGTATGTCACTGAATGACTTGATTTGACTTGGATGGTTTTGCACATGTCATGCATGTCTTAAAATCTTGTTTTTCCTTCTTACCCGTCTATTTAATGCATTTACTAACGCCGCTCAGAAATTCTCAAGACTCTGCTCCAAAAGCTGTCATCTGCAGACGCTTCCCAGCGTACCGCGTTCGTTAACCACCGCAACAACTCTGGTAACACGCCCCTGCACTGGGCTGCGCTCAACGCGCACTTGGAATGTGTTAAGGCGCTTGTCGAAGCTGGCGCAGACCTTGATGTTAAGAATGATGCTGGTCATGACGCTGTTTTCCTCGCTGAGCGGACAGCCTGGGCTGCCGTTGAGGGTGATGAGGATGTTGAGGGTGCCGAGGGTGATGATGCTCAGACTCAGGAGATTGACATGACCATTGGTGAGAATGAGGGCGAGGATAAGCCTGCTGAGAATGCTGGTGAGATGTCTGCGGGCAGACAGGTTGTTGAGTGGCTCCTAGCTTCGGATGTTGGTGCTAGTTTGGAGAAGGGGGCTACTGAGGGTGAGGCTAGTGGATCTGCTTGATTTACGTCAATGAGGTCGGAAATGATTGAAGAAAAGTTTTAAGATTTCACGCATACAATGGGATATATGGGTACTTTCTATTCTTGCATATGTTGTTCGTTAGTGTCTATATTAATGCATCTTGATCCTTTTATCATAACTTTACATTGAATGACGCTACAGGGCTTTTTGAATGCTGCTCTAGTATACATAAAGTTCAAATGCTCTCATCTACACATCAATTCAATCACTGCGGACCTTGCCCGCTACTGCCCCGGGAGAAGGCGACACCTCCACAGGTAGTGGAGTAGAGGGATCGATCTCCCGAACTTTCGCATCGAAGCCGACCTTAAAGCGCCGGTCTCGCCACACGACCGTCACACCGCCGTACACTGCCATGATCCAGATAGGCAAGGCCAGCAGTTCACGGCCGAGCCAGGCGCCAAACCATTGCATGAACGGGCGACGAGTAGTTTGGGATGACCGGTAGCGTTGAGGCCGAGCAAAAGCTGGGGTATCCTCGTCCAACTCGATGCATCTTGCCGAATGCAGCTTGATATACAGTGTCCAATCGACTAGGATCCAGGAGACCATGCCAAATACGAACACGACAAAAAACGCACACCACGTCCCGAGATGGGCAGCAAATTGCACACCCTTCCGCTCAAGATACGGCGCCAAGGCAGTAGTGACGCCCCAGGCGCCATATGTTGTGCATAAGAAGGACTCGGTGCCTGGTTCGACAAGCGTAGCGAGTAAAACAGTAAATTTACGGACTCGCAGCCACCGGATACGACGGGCGATGTATGCCGGCACACTCATGTTGGCGACAGGTTGAATAGCCATGTCACCAAAGACCATGGCATGCTTGCCCCAACGCTCGCGGAGCTCTTTCTCTTCCCGCACCTGCTTCTTCCACAGCAGATCGCCAATAAGATGGTCCTCGCAGATGTTGTCGGAGAAGAAATCGATGCCGGGATGACGAGCCTCGGGACCCAAAACCGATGGACTGGTAAGATAGTCGAGATGGGAGCGGCGGAACATGTTGGATTTTCCCACGATGCATGGCGCAACAAGAACCGTGTTGATCGCAGTATACATTTTCGCGTGCGCGGAGGACAGGAACAGTTCTTCCAAGCGACCGCCTCCAGTGGCTATCATGGCTGCAGGGCCATCCTCTGGACGGACGGAAGGCATCGCTGCGGCCGCTGCATCGGCATCCGTGGACTGTGGGTTGGCGTCCACGAGCGCCTGTCGCTCTTCACGCAGGTTGCTCTCTCCGGTCACATCCACGGCCACGGGTAGATGGTGCACGAACTTGTATTTCTTGTTTGAGGAGGGCCCCGTTCCGCACAGCCTGTCCACCATCCGGGCACAGACTCCCTTCCCGACCCAGACATTGCAGTCAATGATCCAGACAATATCTCCTTTCGCTTCTCGATATGCGCGGCTCATATTCCGGATCTTGGGATTCGGCCCGAGCGTGTACGTATTGATGCCATCCTGCTGCAAGAGGGGATCTTCATCTTCGACAAAAATCCGTGCGTCAACATGCGGGAAGTCGGTGATTAGTTTGCGGAGGGTAGGATAGGCCGGGTCGTCGCGTGTCGATACACAGAGACGAATGCTGAGCTTGTCGCTCGGGTAGTCCTGTCGAAAGGTGGCAGCGAGGCAGTCATACAGGTGCGGCTCGAGGCCCTTGACCGGTCGGATGGCGGTGATGTGCGGTACGTCGGAGGTGTTCGTTAGCCGTGACCGATGCGGCTGGCTGAGGAAATATTTCCATCTGAGAAGAAAGGGACTGTGTTAGTTATATGTTATTTTGAAAAAGAAGGCCAAATCATACATCTGAAAATATCCTAGACCGCAAACTGCGAGTATGAATGTATACCATATCAGGGCAATCCAACCGATCGCGACGGATGCGCCCAGCGCGCCATCGTCAGATCTGCGAAGGAGGAACGAAAATGTAGGCTTTAGCATGGGACACGAAGGAAAAGCAATAGCAACATAGACGCAGATGAGAGGGACATTCTGGAGAAGAAGCAATTGCATGCGGGTGGATTTCATTTCGGCAGTTGGCTGTCTCCGCCCTCACAATGTACAACATACGCCTAACTATGGGACCTGTGGACCAACCAACTATGGAATATCTCTTTCCCACATAAATAATGGAGATGTGTATACTTAGGTATCAAAATAGCTGCCTGCTCGGAAGCCCCGGATGTAAACATAAGTACTTATGCGGTTCAATTACGGTAGTTATGCTCGAATGTAAGAAAAATATCCATGTTTCCCCCAAACTCCTAGACCTATCCATCCCATGATATCAAAAGCAAATGCAAACTCCCATCATGTCTTCTTCTTCTTCCGGACCAGGCTTGCATTGAGCACATTGACACCAGCCGGCTCAGACGGAGCTGGTTGCGTGACTCCTGGTTCACTCGGTGCTTGTGTTTCATTTACAATAGGAGTGTTGCCCTCGCCCAATGACTTCTTTCGTTTGCGGATTAATCCAAGGTCTAGGACATTGTTCGTATTGGTATTGGCCAGCTGAGAGGCAGTGTCGCTCGTGGTATTGCTGCCGACAACCTTCTTGCCCCATGTAAGCTCGTCCGCGAGGGAAGAGACTTGGTCAACATAGAGTTTCGTACTGGCGACGACTTCTTTCTCGTCATAGAAATGGTCTAGAACCGAATCCATCATCGTTTTGTAGTCTGCTTCGCTGAGAACGACCTGGCCACGTCCGGCTTCTGGCCAGTCGAACGGGTTGACAGTGCTAGATGCATCAACCCAGGCGAGTGTGGGAGAGGTATCGGCTGTCGTGAAATTTGTTGTTGCCTTCGTCAAGGTGGCGGAGCCATTCTCCACTTTCTCCTCATTCGGAATGGCCCCAGAAATCTCTGTTCCATTGGAGACCAGGCCGCTGTCAGAGGAACCACGTTTTTGGCTTTCCATTGATGTAGAATTCATCAAACCAGGAGGATTGATAACCAACCACAGGAAGCCGACTAACCGACCAGCAGAGCATTCTTGGCGGAAGGACATCATCTCCCAGAATTGGTCCAAGGACCGTACGCTGCGCCAGCGGCCGGCATTAGGAGAGACGGGTTGACCCTCATTCTCCCCCGGAAGTTCACCGTCCAGGTCGATGAGGAAACGAGTCTTGGGATCATCGGGGAAACGAGGCACCAAGCAGCGGGGAGGGGCCGATGGGTTATGGTACAATTGCTTCAGTGGGTAGCTGTTGAGCCACCGTGGGCGATCCTGCGGATCGGTTTTGGCCGTAGGAGGGAAGAAATTGCGTGTTTCAAAGCGGTCACAGCTTGGAACAATCAAGTATGCGGTAGCAGAGGCCTTGGCAGCCTCGACTGTTTGATCCAGCGCCTTCGTCTCTTGAAGAGCAGACTCTGGCTCATGCTCACGTAAAATCGGGTCTAAAACACGACACCACCACTTGATTAGGCCTCGATCATCCAGAACGTGCTTTTCGGCGTTCTCAATGCTGCCCGGAAACAGGTACTGATTCTGGGCCCGCGCGAACAGCGACACGACCAGACGCACACCGGGCCGTTGTCGGGTTCGAGCCAGAAATGAGAGAAATGTATTGGAGACCAGTCTCAGTACAGATACCTTAGTTGGCAATTTTAGAAGATGCAGGAAACCAGTTGAGTCGGCCTTGGAGATGAAGATGGTGGTCAAGTGGGCCGTGTTGTAAACCATCACCTCCATTCCGAAGATAATTGTCTCACCTTCATCATTGGAATCAATTGACACCGAGAGGAAATGATTTTCGCAGAATGTTGGCTCGGAGACCTGGCCCGGCGCAGCTGCAAAGAGAGCTTCGCAGGGAGTGGGTGTTGACGAGACATGACGAACGGTTATCTCAACCCCGGTGGGGAGAACCTTGGCCAAGAGATCTGCCAGATCTGCCGCCATTCTCGTTCATCCAATGAGAGTCGTGGAAAATGTGAAGAAGAGGAGCTGGAGAACTGCGGAGTTCGATTTCGCGCCCTTGGAGATCACGTGCCAGGAACATATATAGTCTGCCGCTTTAGGAAGGTCGATGTGTAGATATTCGCTAGTTATCTGAATGGGGCATTCAATGATGTAGATAGAAATAAATATTGAAACTAGGTACGTATGTAGAATACCTGAACGAAAGACGATGGGGAAGACTTATTTTGAACCATAGCTTTATAGCTTTGTGTACTTGTTTGCTCAATACCAAGCTAATATGTGGTGTTTGCCCAGGTGATAGTCTCACCAACTCTTTTGTTCTTTCACTCTTCCCAGTCTTTTAGTCTATCTCTCAACCCAAACACTTGCGGACAAAGGCAGAAACATACCACTGAAGGTAAGCAAGACTGACGAGATTAATGTTCTATGAATTAATAGTTCATCGCCTTGGCTAACACGCTAAGCATGGCTTCAAGTGTAACAAAGCCGCATCCTGGCCATCTCGACACCACCTATCAGGATGTATCCCACAACCAGAACCCCCGACGCGTGGAGTAAGTTTACATTTGTGTTACCTCGCTGTGCTGAGAAAACCCACTGACCACGCACCCCAGACAACGACGACATGACGCTGACTGTCTGCGCCCAGTTGCAGATCCGCTACGCCTGTGGTCACTCGACAGGTGGGGAGTTCGTCAAATGTCAACGACACATGAGAAGAGAGGATGAACGCTGCATTAGCCGTCAAATCCAGCACATCGATGTCAAGGAGTCGGCACACAAATGTCGCCTATGTCTGCGCAGTGAATGAGACCTTGTATGGAATCCATTCGATAGGAGTTGACAGAGGCCTTTATCTTGCAAGTCCTGGGAAGGGTGAATATGGAGGATTATGGCACACATGGATATCATATTGACAGAGGAGCCGATACTGTCTATCTTTGAATCAAGGTAATATCAGAAAGAGTCCAACCAGGACCATTGACCTGAATTTCAGTAGAAGTCCACTCGAGAGGTATAAATGTAATCTAGTGGATATGTGACTGTATGATCTTGATCTCATTCTTGAGGTCTGGTGTTGCTTAGAAGTAAGAAGCCACAGCATCTAGATCATCGGCATTGAGCAGAATGACCCCTTCCCTCAAAAGAGTCCTCCAGACAAGGTTTCGTGCACGAATCGGAAAGTACGGCGTGTTCCAATATCTAGCACCAATCCCGCGCTCATTCGCCGTGGCGATTTGGTCCCGGAGAGCTTTGAGTTGGTCAGCTGAGAGAATTGGGTCCGTATCGACAGTTATCTTGCCGACGGCTTTCTGGAAATCTGTTGAAGCAACAGGTGAGATAACACCAGTTACATCAGCGTACTTGGGATCATTCAAATCCGCGAGAGGTGCATCGAAAAAGTAGTCTCGGTCTTTGACGGGCGCAACCATGTCGAACGGTGTCTCTCCCGTGCCAATGACAGTGACGGGTCCATTGGTAACGTCCTTGCCATCCTTGACGGTGGTAAGGTAGCCCTTCTCCCGCAGAGGTTCTAAAGCAGCAATTACAGCCTTGAACGTCTCGGGGCCGGATGTCTTCACATCAATGAAAAAGTAAAGTGTCTGGTCGGGAACAGTATCCCACACGCCACTGTTTCAACAAATCATTAGCAGAGGGACCTTATCAAGCCCTGGCCGGATACTCACTTTTTAGTAGGTGATGACACAAATGGACTCTCGGGATTCTGGCGCTCTAGGACGTCCAGAATGGGATTGATATACAATGATTTAAGAGTTCGGGATTCTGTCAGTGCGGATTCATCATGGCCAACCTTGTTTTGGTTAGTATGCCACCTAGAAGAACGGCCAAGATATCATAGATTGACCAAACTCACGTAGAGGGTGCCATTGAATAGCCAGACATCAGCTTCGGTAGATGTGCAGCCATGTGAGAGGCCTGTGCATTGCAATGTTAGGGTGATAACCGGATATCAGGCACTAGAGCTCCAGCATACCGGTATAGAAAGGCTCGTCTCGCCAATAGTCACTTTGGTATAATTAGTATATAATCAAGTCAGGAGTATGCACCATGGGAATTATGCTTACTTATGAGAATGAACAGGTATCTAGACATTCGTGCGCCCCAGGGTTAACAACATTGTCCTGATGGCGGAGAGCCCCACAAACAGTTTATCGATGTATGATAACACAGATAGACTTACAGGTAAGAGATCTCTTGTCAGATCAGTGGGATACCCATAGTCTTTGCTGCCGTGTGTGTTTTTTAAGATGCTCTGTAGGCTAGAGGGGATGGCCCCAATGGCTGGATCCGGACCCGCGAGGAGAGCCACAACAACGCTAGCGAGGAATAACATGAAGGCAGAGGAGAATTGAATGACAAAATTACTCGAATAATTGATCTCCCTTCACGTATCGAGCTGAAGTTGAAAGAAGATGGGATTGAATTGAATTGAATTGATTGAATTGACCAAAACAAAGAGGCAAATTGACCAATGGCGATCGGAGTTCCGACTCACGTGTTTCTCCAAGGGTGATCATAACATCGAGGTGGAATGGAATATTTTACGAGTTGAATATAAAATAAAGTCCAGATTACAAGAAACCAGAAATAGTAATGTATGGTATTTGGCATGAATGCCAGAAGGTGCTAAAAAAAACATGAAGATCGCAAGACCAGCATCGCCCCCCAGGGAGCTCGACGAAGGAAAATAGCGAAATTGTTGAAAGAGGGCAGGCTCTGAAATGAAATCTATGTACGTCACGGAAATGGAAATATCACCTTAAACTTCCCGCACACTTGGCGAAGATACAGCTCCGGAGTCTTGTGAGTTCCGACCCCGAAGGCTGAGGTTTCCGATGCGTTGGACCAGGTTGCTGCCCACAGCATCAACTGCACCCTTGGGCGCAAGCAAGGTCGGACCTTGAGCGGCAGCTTCTTGGACTCTGAAGAGTTTGATAGCTGTGCCATTCCAGACACCAACCGTTCCTGGGGTTGCACCAGAAGCGGAACCGACTACCATCTCGCTGGAGAAGATGAAGCCCCACAGGAGCGACTCGTACCAGCCCATGGAAAGTGCAGACCACTCGAATGATTGCACGCGAACGGGGGTTGGCTCGGAGATTATACTCGTAACCTCGGGCTCCTCAGCAAATGATGGAAGATTGTGGATTAGTGTACGGGCCTCCGGGCTAACTGCGCTTACAAGCGCTGCATCAGGAATATGAGGTGCAATGGCTGAGATGATGGTGAGGACCGTGTGCAAAGGAAGCTCAGGCAACCAGGACTCGAGCTAGGAAATATTGTTAGTAGCGGAACGTTTAGTGGAAAGGTGATTTGATCTACATAGACTTACCCATGGGACGGTTGGCGTGAAGCCACTAGCAGAGGGGATGAATAGAGCAGACATGCTTGTCTGACTGGTCATGCTGTTCTGTCGGGAGAAAGGAGGATGCCCAGCAGGTTTCTTTCCCCGTGCCTTTTCGGACATTGCTCGCACCTGCTGGGCTCCGTTATCGTCCGTAGTAGATGTTGTGGAGGGTCTCCGTGAGGTTTGAGCAGAGAATGACGATTGAGATGGAGTCTGTACCCCCTCTTCCTCACGTTCATCATCGGAGTCGTCGTCGCCAATGGCAAATGGGCTGTTCTCTTCGGGGATTCTAGTCAACGGTGACCGGGCACCTGAGGGAGTATGTAAATCTTCCTCTGACTGTGAAAGTGTAGGGCTGGTAGCAACATCTGAAGAACTGCCAGCTTTCGTCTTCTCATTCTGTCGCTCGATCTCTTGCTGGCCACTCTCGAGAGTGAAAGCCCGCACGGCTTCAAAGCGTTGCTTATATTTCAGTATCGAGTAGACGAGATATGGGTTTTCTAGAAAAAGTCAGAAACGGCTTGGCTGAAGAAAAAAAAAAGACCTGGGTAGGGGATTTACCGGTGAACTTGTGCTCGAGAATAATGTTGATGAAGTCAAGCAACGATGCAAGAAGAGTATGGTTGGTTTCGTTCGCCAACAAGAAGCTGGGCGAAGACATGGAAGAGAAAAGTTGAATGACTTTCGAGCAGGCACTCGGAGAGATGTGTTCAATATATGGAGCAAGGTTGTTGAGGATGATCAACAGCGCAGGATACACAGTATCCAGATTTCCCTTGCTGGTTGTCATCAACGTGTGAATGGACTGCGGCGGTTAGTATAGTATTATGCTTTTAGATGGGACAAATGACAAACCATAATCAAATAGTCGGCATAAGACCCCCGGAACTTGAGTAGTCGGATCGATTGAGGTAAGGTCTCTTGAGCTTCGAAACTGTTGTTCAGGCTCTTCCCGAACGTGGGCTCCGCGCTCATTGTTTGAAGGATGAAAACGCACATCCGGACCACTCCTTGTTTGGAAGTATCCGTTCTGTACTCCATGGCATAGAATATACATAGGACAAGGAAGTCATGAGAGCGATTCGAGTCGATGATAAATGACCGGAACCTCTTATTGCATTGCAAAGTCTCCCAGAAAAGGACCAACATCTCAGGGGCCCATTTCACTGATTTTTGACTCCCAGGAAGATAAGAAGCAGTAGCTTGCATCTGGTTTGATCGATTAGCACAATGTTTCAACATATAATTTAGCAGAGAATAGATACCGGCTGATTGAGAATTCTCGTCATGCCATCCACCAGGAATTGGAAGTCTTGAGGTCTATGTAGCCTGCCGAAGTAATGGCGATAATAATTCTTCGGTGGAGTTCCACGACCGTCTTCTGGAATGGGATACATCAGGAGAACAAGGAGGAGTTGGACGCAATAGATCACCAATATCTGCCTCGGGTCTTTCCAAACAACGTGGTCGTAAGGGACTCTCCACGACGCAGGGTTATACTTCATTGCCTGTTTTGGATTAACATGGCTCCCACCGTCGATTAACGGGAACATAGCATACCGTGTTGAGAAGAGAGCAAAGGAGGGTCAAAACAGCCTGCTTATCTTGGCAAGTTGTGATGTAAGTAATTGCCTTGACACCTTGGACTGGCAATGTATCTGCAACCAGTCAGTAAATGTTGTAATAATTTAGTTGCACCACACTCCCGACTCACTAGATGGCAAATACATGGCCTTTCCAGTCAGAGTAAGCATAAGCCGGAGAATCTCGCACCGGTTGCTCTCCAATGTTTTGTTGGACCCCATAGCCGTGTTGCAGCCAACACCACTCTGCCAAATTGAAAAAGAGACCTTGCTCTTCGCCGTTGGTAGTTGAGGGATTGTAAAGTCGGCAAAGAAGAGCAAGTCCAGCAATGTGTCTATCAACTCTTCGGCAAGAGGCTTGACATCTTCGTAATCCTCTACGCGCGGTGATCTTGCCTCTTGGTTATCCTCCGGCTGTGCTTCGTCAAAGAGAACCTCCCCAGCAATCTGTGATTGTCTGGTCCTTCTCTTTCGACGTGCCCAGAAGAAATTATCCTCCCATTCCTCCAACTGTTCCGCCTCGTAAACATAGGGGAGGAGACGAGTGAGGATCCGAATGCAGTTGAGGACATCACGCTCGGGGGCAAGATCGGGGTCAGGAAACGAGGGATGGTTTTTCAATACAGTTAGTCGTGAGGTGACTGCGAGTAGGAGTGTCTGGAAGTTGGGCAAGGCGTGATCGCGCGTGCGTCGTATGTCAGCGGGCGTGAAAAGGCTAAAGACATCTTCGGTTGATTCAGGAAGTTCCCAGAACTGCCAGTGTGGTTAGCCTCCGAGTCTCTAAAACAAATAGTCATTTTGTAATAGAACGTACTCTGGTCCAGTAGGGGTCGTCTGCGGGGATCTCCTGTTCCGAGA